ACTATGAATTGAAATGCATTCTGCTGTCATGTATAACAAATTAGAATAAACAAATAAACTTTTTTTTTTTTAAAAAAAAGGTGACTTTCTTCAACAGCTGCGGGATGGGGACCTGTGTGCAGGAGATTTCACCCACTGGAGGAGCAAGGGGCAGAGTCGGAATATGTCCTTTCTGTGCACAGGAATACAAAGGAGCTTTCAAAATATTTAGAGACCTCCATTTCTCGGAATGGAACCAAGCTTCTTGAACGGTTGCATAGGATTAACTCGAAAAGCACCTGACCTTGCCCCTTTCTCTTTCTGGTGGTGAGCTGCATGTGACGCTCCCTAGGGGAGGGTTCCCCAAGAGGAGGAGGCAGGTGGCGCAGGGCTGTGCCCTTGCTGCACTCTGAGCTCCGTTTTAATGTCTTAGTGACGTTGGCCTCCAGCGAGGTCTTCTTCGGGAATATGCTCCTGACCAAGACCTTTGAGAAGAGCAGGGAGGGAAACTGAAAGAGTATTTTGGTGACACATGTAACTCTAGGGATTTTCATTGTGACTGTGTGTTGATGAGCCTTGGTTTAAGAAAAATCTGAGCAATTCAGCCGAGTATGAAAAGGAAATAAATATACAGGAAGTCTCACCACCCGAAGCTTTGTACAGAGTGTTCCAAAAGCTCCCAGTAAGATCATGATCATGTCTATAATTTTACAAAAAAGGAACCACACTACACTTTCAGATTGACAGATGCTTTCTTCATTTAGCACCATCGCTTGAAAATATTCCCGTCAGCAGCAGCACTTGTCTACATTATTCTTTCGGATGCTTCGGGGCACCCCAGCATATTGATGGACAGGCAAATGGTACAACCGTCGTCCATCTTCATGCATTTAGCTTTATGTTTCCCTGATTCCCAATCTAAACGAGATCCCCATCATTATTTTCTCTCTCAACACCTTGTCTTCTGCCATAACATTAAAAAGTTATATTGATGACAGTGTGTGCATTTCACGTCCCTGTCCCTGGTGTGGATCACAGGGCTCTACGGAAGCAGAGCTGTGACTGCTCTGTTCATTAGCAATGACCCAGAACAGAGCACAGTTTGGTATGTGGTGAACACTCAAAAACAGGTATTTTTTAAAAGCAGATATATTTTTATCAATAATGTCTAAATAAATGTTGCCAAATATAAAAAGCTGTACAGGGGCTGGGGATGTGGCTCAAGCGGTAACGTGCTTGCCTGGCATGCGCGGGGAGCTGGGTTCA